GGTCGTAGGTTCGAATCCCACCGTGGCCGGGCATATTTTTCAAGCTTGCCCGGTGTGGATATGCACTCAGAGTAACATCACAAACATGTTTTAACTTGTTTTCGAACGCGTCCGGAAATAATTGCGAAAAAAATGTTAAAACTGACTACAATTTCTAAGTCAACGTTTTTTGTTCATTTTATGAATGACTTCTTCCACACAGAAAGTTTGAAGGAAATCTGTAATGTTAAGAAATTCGAGTGGTCGGTTTTTACACGGACTGCCTCTTAAGATCTTTTTGTTGTTTACATCATCATTCCACTTTCAATTTTGATGCATTGTAGTACCAAGAAGAGCCGTACATTTAGTTCTTTTAAGTTCAATTCATTAGCATGAAGATGAACAGAACGATCTTCATCAATTTGGTGCACACGAAAGAGTTGACTAGTTGAGAAAAGCATGACTTTTGTTTTATTGGGGTTAAAAACAAGATTATTAGAACTAGACCAGGTGGAAAGTTTATCGAGATTGGATTGAATTTTCTCTTCACATGACTTTATGTCAGCTTGCTTACAATGTGCATAGATGGTAGTGTCATCGGCATACTGATGTGAAGATATAGAGTTGTCAAGGTTTTGAGACAGATCATTGACATATAGGTTGAAGAGATCAGGACCAAGTATACACCCTTGTGGAACTCCCAAACAAACGTTAGTTGTGTTTGACACTTGAACAAACTGTCGTCGACCAGTCAGATAGTTTGTGACCCCATTTGAGATATTCTTTGGAGAAACCTTGTGAATGGAGTTTTCTTAAGATGGTGGAATACGACACAGTATCAAACGCTTTCGAGAAATTTGCGAGAACAGCTATCGTGACTTCACCTTTTTTCATAGCTCGCTGAATATCATCTCGCATTGCCAACATAACTGTCGTAGTGTTCTGACCTTTGCGGTGAGCACTAATGGATTAAGTACTCCAGTGGTTTATGATTATACTTACGAGTATAGTTTCACTGCTTACTATATCCCTGTTCTAAAAAAGGTTGCCACCCAAAAATGGCGGTGTGAGAAAGGCTAATTATAGCGTCTATTACCGCGGCGGATGCAATTCGTTCACGACATGCATGTCACTCTGCTGTGCGCGCATTTTACTCGCACAACAAGATATATAAAACGTACACAATAATACAGTCTTCAGCTTGCAACCATCCACTCAAGTTTCAAAACGACTCAAGCAGCGTATACCATAATTAGCATTTTTATTACTTTAGTCTTTACACCGTGCTTCCGGTTGATGTTGTTGTAAAAGTGGACTTGGTATCACTAAATTTGTCATGTTACACCAATAGCGGCCAGACGGATTTAAAGAGTTCCTTTGTCTCAGAATATAAAACATAAAAGTACATAATACCGTATATAAAACACAAAAATGTAGAATGTTGTCTAGCGCCTTTGAGTTTCTACTATATAACTAGTGTATCTAATATCGAGAAACTGGCCCAGACAAATCGAGATCGTATGTAATATCGATGACTTTTGAGCAGTTCCTTTTGATGGCTGGTGTGCTGGTTTGATTAATTAAACTTATTAAAATATGAGATGTCAAATGACATGTAATAATAGAGCAATACGTACCGAAGCTATGATCATAATTATAAGGTGATTTTATACTAATCACGTGTTCCACAGACCTTGATAAACGCGATCGAATGCTTTGCACAGCTCCACCATTGCCTGGACTTTGAATCAAATAATCGTTCTCTGTAGCTGTAGGCACAATACCTACAATCCTGTTACTGACCCTGTGGTCAGCCATGTACTTCGTTTCTGAAACCTTTGCTTTGCTTAGGCGAGAAGGAAACTACCTATCCTTCGGATCGGCTTAGAGTTTATAAATAGTCTGGGGGAATAACCATAGTGGGAAGTTCATTATTTTCAATGTAAAATGACGTAATCGTAGCTTGCGACACAAACGTCGACGTTTTATTGAACCCACGAACACAGAGATGAAAGGCGCTCGCTCTGGCGACTGTGCCACCGAAGCTCATAACAAACTGAAGTTCAAGCTTTGATCCAAACGTACACAGTCCATTTTATTCCATTTTGGCTGAAAGCTCTATCGACGCTTGGGGAATCACCAATATCAATGGGAAGTCACTAGTGTGAAGCCATTCCATGTAAAATGACGTAATCGACGTTTACGAGACAGCATACGCACTTTCTATACTCTCTATACTAGAAGTTACTATCGCAAGGAAAGTGCTGCCTCATCCCCAAGGGATCAAAGGCAGCATGCACAATTTATTGAACAAGGGGCTGTTTTATATATGATCCCGCTTTGGCATGAAGATATGTGAGGCGGGGTTATTTTGATGTATTGAAACAAGTCACGGTGCACAATTCAGCTAATTCATTATTTTCTAGAGATAGATTTAGTTAACTGTAAACAAAACGTACTAACAATCTTCTGGAACTACAAAATCTTCTCTACAATATTTTGAATTCTCTTAATCAGCACTTTCACTTTTGTTTAGCCTACATCCCACCTTCCATCATGTAAACAGCCCCTAAGACACCTGTTCAGTAGGTAGGAAAAGTGCAATTTGAATATCAAACACCTGGCACAAATTCAAAGATTAGGCCAGCTAAATATTCAATGCTTATAACTTCTTGTATTTGTATGTATAATTATAATACTGTCAGTAGTGAAGCTAGTAGCCATTAGAACAGGTCATGCTATGCAAGTTTTTAATAATTTGCATTAGTCAAATAGATGCAGGTTTACTGGCATGGCATGACCAGTTGCCATAGCTAGCTTGCCACTGAATACTAGACAAAATCATATTATATATAAACGATAGTAATACTCGAATGAATCATTGGACATGTAGAAATATTAAGTCAGTTTTTGTCCCAATTATCGTTTTAATGATACCTTCAAGGCTACCCCTATTGCAAAATCACTGAACTACCTGCTGACACCTGATGGGGAGACAAAGTCTATTTGTTGAAAGTTTTGTTTCATACGTCAGCTTCCGCATGGCGACACCATTCATTTGTAATGATTATGATTGTATTCAGTCAGAACTGCAAAACTATATAATGCAAGAAATTGTATCAAGCGTTATCAAGTATATAGTATACCCTGAACTGTAGTGACACAACCAGGTGAATATATAAATGTAGGCCGGTAGGATTATTTCCTATTATGCAACAATGGACATATCTCAGAGATATATTCTTACAGACCGTTATACCTTTTTCAAAAGTCGGTTGACATGTTATTACATGTATTAACTGCTGGTATAAAGTTTCCACACTGGGTTGCTAT